CCTGCGCTATCTTACATACATGCAGCTCTATTTATAATACAAGACGAGGGTTTCGTGACCAGTCCGTACTTTCCCTAAAAAAGGACATCCCGATGTGAGGCCCAGCAGGTATCTCCTAGCAGGCGCCGTCCGTTTTATCGTTTCTCTTTGTCAGTCTACACCAAGATGAAACGCTGTCGATCCCATCTCAGCCGTCCAAAATAGTGCGTGGAGTGTCGAGCGACAAGCTCACCAGGACGAACACCAGCAGCGCGATGGCCACGACCACCAACGCCCGCGTGCGGACCGCCTGCATGGACAGCACCGCGGCGTACTGGAGCCCGAGCAGCGCGTACAGCAAGCCTGTGACGACCATCGCGGCGTTCTGTCGACCGAGGACGAGCTTCGGGCTATCATATGTGTATGTCTTCTGGAACAGGATAATTCTGACGCCATTTTGGTGTTCTAGAGGACGGGCAGACGAGGGTGGTGGTGTGCGTGCGTGCCGAGCACCGCATGTTCGCATGCGCAGGGCATTTGTACTTCTCAACACAATATCTGCAGAGCGGTGATAGCTAGACGTCAGTGGCCTTGAATGCGGTACCATTTGAGGAGTCACTAAGACTCTGCGCAGCGGTTTTGATGATCCAGCTTGGGTGCTGCTTTCGTTATAGTTATCAAAGGGTGTCATATCAAACCACACGATCGATCAATGCCAGCGGAAGGTGCTCTCACATCCTAAGTCCATTCAGTACAAAGCATCAGAAAGGGTGGAAGCATAGCAGGTTTCGGCGAGTCGAGACGTATCAAGATGAAAGACTCTTCCAGTGAGGGCCTGAGATCGTGAGCGCATCGTTAAGCGTCTCGTCGCAGAGCCGCACCACAGCGCACCTCACAGCCCCCACCCCCTCACGATCTCCTCCGTGCTCTTGCACAGCTCGTCCGCCAACGCTTCGTCGTCCGCCTGCGGGGCATAGCTCTTCCCCAGCCGCCGCCCGCCGCCTTTTCCAGGAACGCCATCCTCCCCTTCCACCGCCCGGCCTCCTCGCGCACCGCCGGCGACGCCGCGGCGAAGACGGAGCTGTGCGCGCCCTCAATCGGGTCGACGAACGCAACCAGGCGCAGGAGCGCGACGACCGGTTTCCACGCCGGCTTCTGCAGGAATGGGATGGCCGAGACGCCTGGGGTCCACACCCAGCCGGGGTCCGCGGAGAGGACGAGGATGGGGGCGTTCGCAGCGTTGAGCTGGCGTTGCAGCGCGCGGGCGTAGAGGGCATCGGCGAGCTTGGTTACAGCTGAAATGCACGTTAGCGTGCATGTCAGGGCGAACGCGTGACGTCATCGCCACACGGCACATTTGCTGCGGCAAGGACGTGTGCGGCAGGAAGTGGTGACGCGGAGATAGTATGCGAGACTCGACGTGCGTATCGCGCGTATGCTCGCATAGCGCCGTCAACAAGGGCGCTTCCATCGCGGCGGCCACATGTTCCCGCATGTCGTTTGTCGCAACGGGCTTGAAGGAAGATACCACTCACCATATCTGCAGCGGTCGGAGTCAGAGGCCTCCTTGAACTCGCGGTTGTAATCCTCTACCGATCGGAAACGGACGTCCAGCCCTTTGACGAGTGCCAAGGAGTCCGAAGCCAGCTTCCAACGCGCATCCAAAGGTCGACGTCAGACGGGCGAGACCAAGGACAGCAGGAACACTCACAGTCACTATGCGAACGTCATCGCTCGGATCCTCCGCTGTACGCTTGAGCAGAGGCAGCAGCGTCTGCGTGAAGATGTAGACTCCGAAGTGGCTTTTCGAGTGAACATCAGCAGGCAATAGGTACCGAGGGGCAAGAAACACGTACTTGATCATCATCGTGTCTAGCACACCTACAGAGCCGTCAGGAAATGACCATAAACGCCTCATCTGCAAGCAGTCGACTTAGCAGTGGCACGTGACCAGATTTGGACTCGCACACTCACGACCCTGCATTATTGACTACGAGGCAAGGGAGGCTTGAGCTCGAGACGAACATATGCATGATCGAAGACGAGGGACGTACGCAGGATGTCCAGTCGGCTCTCTTTCTCCATGAAACCCTCCGCCGCGGCCTTGACCTTCTTCGGGTACGTCAGGTCGAGGTCCAGCCACTCAACCTTTCCCTTCTCCACACCGGCCTCCTCCAGCTGCGCGATCGCGGCCTGGGCGCGCTCTTCGCTGCGAGCGCCCATGTACACCCTCGCGCCCTTGCGCGCGAGGTGGAAGCAGTCGGCGTAGCCGATACCCGCGCTGCAGAATGCGTAGCGCGTCAGCGAGCGAAAACGGCACGATAGACACGATCGACTGCGCGGACGCGAGCGATCGAACTCAATTTACGCCGGTGAAGATGGTGACCTTGCGCGCGCGCGGTCGTACTTGGTGCCACGTAGGAAGGACAACATGGTGAGAGGGAAAGCGGCCTCGGGCATGTTCGCGCGCTGCGTTCATGGGCACCGATGTGATCTTCCAGGACGCCGACCGTGCTGTCCGTGGCAATCGATATCAGCGCTCGCTGCGCCTTGAAAAGGGCCCGCTGAGAGACGGTGGTGTCGATGAGGATGAATGAGATGGGAAACAGCAGGTGAGCGACAAGAGATATGAACGGCGCCAAAAGCGAGGCGCATCGCAGCTGAACCGGCTCATCCCAGCCACGTGGCGGTGTGATCGCCTCCGAGGCGCGGCAGATTTTTTTCAATCACTTCAACCTGAACGTCGCAGTCTTGCCAGCAATGCTAGTGATTGCTCGGCGCTGGCCCAAGTTCACTATGGCTGATGTGGGAGTACTTTATTTCCGCGAACATGTTAATATGCACTTTCTGATAGATGGTCCAGAAGCACTGCATGCCTTCGCAGGTAACCAGTTCCCGAAAGTCAAGATTGATTGGAGTCCCACCGGGGGCCTCATCCTGACGGAGTTCTACAATACCGCCATCGCCGGCTGCATCTTCTAGCCCCGGTCGGTCCCCTCTTTCCTTGTGACCTCCTGGCTTGAAATTCGCTGGCCACACGTTCTCACCTCGCTTCTAAGCCACAACGACACTGGGTCACTCACAGCTCCGTTTCCGATGACGGCACCGGGGGTGCCTCGTGCGATGGTACCTCTAGCTGAAATTCCGCGAGATGCTCCACCCAGAGCACACTTCCGACCACCCGGTTACGACTGCCCGCTTCACCAGAAATGGACACACCCCCGGAACCTCCAGCGAGAAACATTCAACGCCGACGCCCTGAGACCGCAAGCTGCCCTGCTCCGTGTCTATGTCCGCCAGCAATTTTTCGGATCTGCGGCCTTGATTCACAGGAAGCGAGCGGCGACGCGTAGTCGACGGACACGACGACAGCCCGACTTCGCTGGGTCGCTTCACTGGCTCCCGGTGAAGCTCGTCATGGGCCATGTCAGCGTCATGCAACTGAGGAGGAGGGACCCAGTCCCCTCTCTGTGTGCAGGTGTTCGACCGAGTGGGCCAGATCACTACACTTCGACGCGGAGAGATGTGTGAGCGGGCGCGCTTCTTATACCTCCTCCGATTACTGACCTCCTGTCCGGGTCCTTCTAGCGCAGGGTGATTTCGACAGCAAGCGAACGAGAGGGCACCGAAGGCCATAGCAACATATAACGAATGCTACTCGGGCCACAGCCTCAATCGTCGGCGGCACGGACGTTCTGTTCTGTTCCGGGGTCAGTACATTTACCACCTTCAACATCTTCTCCACCGACACTTCCACCGTCGGCACGGCCAGCGGCAGCCTCTTCGCCCTCCACGCCTTCATATGCCCCCCATCTCCGCGAGCAGCGCCAGACCGAGGTGGTGGCCATCATCCCTGGGGCGATGGTGACGACGAGGAAGTCTTCCATGCGAGCTTGACCTCAACGTGCGCCGCGGCCTCGGTCATCCCGTACTCGACCAAGTTGTTCAGCGCGAGGGAAGCCTCCTTCGGTGCCGATCACGACGATCCTATCGGCGTCGCCAGAGCAGAGGATGGGGAGAAATGTGCAGAGGGTATGGATGGATCCGAGCGATTTGGTCCTGAACTGTGGTGAAAACTGATAAATAGGGTGGGTCAGTTCGGGTTGCACTTGAGGGTGCGTGGCGGGACTGACCAGTTCTACTATTGCTTCATCAAGCTCGTCTAGGTCCTTGCTGTATCGCGTCAGCTTTCAGGCCCTGGATCTCGCGGCCCATCAATTGTGGAGCGTGCCTGTCGTCGGGGTCGACGCCCGCGGCGCGGCAGACGTCCAAGCAGCCGTGAAGTTTGTGGCGAAACATGACTTGAAGGTCATGATGTCATCGTCAAGAGTACTGGGTATGTATCGGACGGTGACCCTACGTTCCGCATCTTCCATGATCCAATTATCTGATGATACTTTGTTTCGGCCAGACACGACTACTAAGGACGAAGCGACGGTCGTGGAGGTTTCCTCATCTAGACGCATCACATGAAGAACATCACAGTGCACCCTACGTTTTCCCGCGCTGGAGCTTCGAGCAATGAGACATACGATCTTGGTACGTTTTTGCGCTGGCATCCCTTCGGAAATGAGCTTACATTTCGTGACGACCCACAAAAGCCATCGCGCTGCAATCCGGTGTACAATTGCACGAGGCCTACGACGCCGTCACGGCCGTCAACCACACCATGATCGGCGATCTAACCAGGGCGCTGTGGCCCCCGCCGAGGAGCCAGCCACTCGCTACGCCGACTGTACCACCCCTCTCCCCGAACTACAGCCTCGTTAAGGCGCACTTCCCTCTCGCCCGCACGTCGAGCTCCTACTCACCACATCCTCAAGCGTCGACAACCTCCTCAAGATCACCGTCGTCTCCGCGAATGGCACCGAGCTCACCGCCTCCGCGCACCAGAACGCCCAATTCTTCTGGGGGCTCCGCGGCGGCGGCGGCTCCCTCGCCGTCGTCATCTCCGCAACGTACCGCCCGAACCCGCCGATCCTCGCCGTATTCCTCAATTTCGCGACCCTAGGCACGAACGTGCCCTCTCCCGGCGCGCGCGACGTCTTCGGCGCGTTCATCGCCGCCCAGGGCGCGCTCTACGACGCCGGCTGGGGCGGCTACGCCTACGTCGTCCCCACCGCGGCCGCGTGGAACTTCACCGCGTTCATCATCAGCCCGTCCGCGGACCTCGCCGCCGCGAACGCGAGCGTCCAGGCCTTCTTTGCCGCCGCGCGCGCGGCCGCGGCGCAGGACCCCGCGCTCGTCCTCTCCCGCACGACGATGGTGCCGTGCGCGAGCCGGGAGGCGTGGTACAACGCGCTTGGGTTCAACTCGACGTCCGACGTCGGCCACGTCGAGATCCCCACCGCGCCCGGCTGGCCACAGGAAGCTCGTGCGCTTTTCTCCTCATCCGCGAGTCCGGGCGTCCGCTGACCGGCTCCGCGAGCGTCCCCAGTGCCAAGACTTCGAAGAGCCGGACATTGAGCGTTTTGCTCTTTCAGTCAAAGTACATCTTTGTTTCTTCCCCATGGCGAAAAAGAGCAGGAAGGTGAAGATCCCAGACTCGTAAGTGCTCCGACTCCGTACGCCCGCGGTCTGGCGTGTCGGCTGACCGACTTCTGCCCGTCCAGTCTCCCAGCAGCACGCCGAAGGCGTACGCCGCGTCAAAGGCCCCCGCTTGGTCTGCGACCTCCGGACGCGCGATTCCGTCAGACCAGGGCAACCAAATTTTTATATCTACGTAGTACAAATCCTTCCTGATACAAAAACCGCGAATCCTACACCCCGAACCCCATCCGCTCCCGCTCGTGCCACGCGAGCGAGCTCGGAGACGGACGTCGCCCTCCCTGCCCTTCGTCACGCTCCACGGAGAGTCCGCGGAGCGTCCGCATCAGCCTCTCTCTCTCATACACACTCGCGCGCGCGCGCGCGACTGATGTGCGCCTCCAAGTTGTCCGTCGTCGTCGTGCGCTCGATCGTGACGGCAATGCCGTGCGCGCGGTGCCGCGGGGCACGCGCAGGCAGCGCGGAGAAGCGCGAGAGGCGCGAGAGCTCGATGTCGAGCTGGCTGCGGGTGATGTCGCCGGGGGAGGAGTGGATCGTCGACGCGCGGCGCGGGTTGAGGATGAGGCGCGATCCCTAGAAGGTGCAGGCGTAGTCAGCTCGTTGCGCTACGACGACCTAGGGGGAGGAGAAGGGCTCACAGCGAAGGAGAGGACGACATCTGTGGATGTGGGGTGAGATCGACGACGGTCGCGCGTCAGAGAGGAGGGAGCGCACGTGTAGCATATACCCGTAAGGGTAGAGCGGACGAGCTTGTAGAGCATCTTGTTGATGAGCATGACGATGAAGATGAGGGTGTACGCCCACGTCCCGTCAGCGACGAACTGCTGCATGGCGGGGCCTTTGCCCCAGCCTTGGCGGACGGCGTCGATGAACGTTCCGATGGTGAGCACGAAGAGGACGGTCTCGAACGCGAGCGAGATGACCCTGCGGCAGGCATCAGAGCGAGGCTGGGACGAACGGCGAACGACGGAGCGTACCAAAAGTACTGGAAGATGGGCGGGCTGGAGGTGACATAGCATGCGTCGTTGTATGTTAGCCGTGGGGTCACTACTGCGAGGATGTAGCAGAGCGATACGAGCTCGGCCAAGAAGAGCGCGCCGAGAGACACAGTGTGGGCCTGTCAAAGAGTGACAAGGGAGCGGAAGGGCAGATTCAGTGCTCTCGATGTCGGGGGGTGAGGGGTGGGACACATTGCGTGTGATAGGAATGAAATCGACGGTGGTGACGATCAGCTGGAGGAGGACGCCTTGGACGATCTGCCACTGGCCGCATTGGGCAGGCGTGAAGAAGAGTCCGGTGGTGCCGTTAACGTTGATGGCAAGAAGTGCGCCGAAGAAACGTGCATGTGTTTGAGTACGCGAAGCCCGTGAAGGAGACGACCGGTCGTACTGACCACGAGGCATCAGGGAAGCCGTGTCGATGCCGGGCTCTGGTAGCTCTGGAGGCAGTGTCGGCGCATCGGGATGTCGGTCGTCTCCCAGAGAGTGTTGGAGGACGGATGGAACGTGCTGGCTGGGATGGCGCACGGCTCGTCGACGTGAGGCTCGAGAGCTGGTACGTGGTCCGGATATAGGTTCGCACAGATCCGGGGATGCATGCGCACCGAGGCGATGACGTGGCGAATGGGAAGGTGTCGCGCAGAAGGAGAGCCGGACCAGCAGAGCAGCTGGTCTGTCTTCCAGACGAGACGCTTGCGTACAGCGTCCGTTCAATGCCTGGTACCGTGTTGGAGACCGAGTCTGGCGAGCGCCGCAGGCTTGTGTGGGAGCTGTGGCAGGGCAGGTTCAACAAAGATGTATAGTGCTGGGTGCCGCGCTCACCTTGAAACGGTTGGAAATGGTCCGGGCGGGTAAGAGCGCGGACTGAATTCGCAGAAAGAGGTGGGGGACCGCGAGAAGGGATGAGATAGGCTTCGTTGAGAAGAGCGCAGGCAGGAGTTGAGTGGGCAGACTTGAACGAGAGGGCGAGGATGTGGCGTCGAAGGCGAGGCGAGTAGACAGAGCACGGCGTGCGCGTTTGCAGACAGAGGACAGCGGCTGGAGGGCAAGATGACGGACAGCGTCGCGAGTTGCTGGCTGTATGCGCCCTGTCGAAAACGGCGTTCGATTGCGACGTGCGCGCGCGCGCGCGACGGCGGTCGGGAGCGGGCGAGCGGGCGAGCGGTGGAGTCCGTGAGACGACGAGATGAGGGATTGCACGCTTTCATTCCCGCAGGAAATAACCGGCCGGGCCTGCATCCAGCCGGTCTCCATGCGCTCTTGGTCTGGTACGTGAATGGATGAGTACGCGGGTTGAGATGGACGTCGAAGGAGACACTGGAGCTGTACTTACCTTTGCGCGAAGAGTAGACGTTACGGAAGACGCGCCGCTTGAGCTCCGATCCGGTACCGCGGGGAGCTATGGCCTTGTTCTGCGCGTCGCCAATGCGCTCGCGCGCTCCTCTGCACACTGCCGATGGGCGGATTACCGTTGACAAGGGCGTCTCCCGGAGTGTGGAGGAGGACGAATGAAGGGTGCTGGCTGGGATCGTGAACGCTCGTTGCGCGATGTTTGAGAGCTGGTACGTGGGCCGGCACGGATTGCAGGTGGAAAGCGCACTGGTTCAAGTTCGCACGATGACGTGGTGAATGGCGACCGCTGGCGGACAAGGCGTGGGCGCGCGGCCTGCCAGCAGAGCAACTGGTCGTTGTTCGAGACGAGATACGCGCGCGTACAGTGTGTCGAATGCTCGGTATCGTGTTGGTGGCTGTCGGAGACCAGGTCGAGTTCGCGTCGGAGGCCAGTGGGTTGGCATCACGGACGGCTGATTGGCGTGTGTGGGAGATGTGAACAGAAATTCCGGGCATGGGTGCTGTGTTGACCTCGGAGCGGTTGGAAACGGATGGGGGCGAGAGAGCGGACTAGATCAACAGAGATGGAATGTGGTGTCGCGAGTGGGTTGTGATACGAGCAGGGCCTCCGGCAGGGTCGTGGGAAGGATCTTGGATTAGTCAGCGCGGTCGCCTTCCAGCGCACCGCGCATTTCTCATCCCTCAGTCGTTCGCATCACGAGAAGACTGAGGGGTGAGTGTTCCCCTATTCATCGTCTCTTTACACCTTGACTTACATGTACCTTAGTCTTACGCGCTACCGCGCTCTCAGGTATTAATTCAGTCGTTCGCATCACGAGAAGACTGAGGGTCTTACGCGCTACCGCGCTCTCAGTTCGCGATATGTGGTTCACAGAGCACCGAGGGACAGGTCGGGCTGTACACCCCCGGGCCCGGGCGTGGGGCGGCGCAGAGGGCGGACAGAGGACGGGCGGCAGGACGTGAGCGGCGGCGCAGGCATGGAGAGCGCGAAGGCACATATGGCAAGGGCGCGGCGGGCCGAAAGCGGGATCGAGCGCGGGAGAGAAGAGGGAGGGAAGACGTAGGCGTTGAGGACGAGCAGCGGCGTGGAGTGCAAGACGACGAGGGCCATGGTCGCTGGTGTATGCGCCCGGCGAGAACTGCAGTCGAGTGGCACCATCTGTGTATAATTATTTTAAAAAATCACATTCGTTGATGTGAAACGTGATTAAGTCTGTCTCACCACACAGAATTAATTCTGTTCTAGTGTTGCCGTCCTCATTAATCTTAGACATGCTTCGAGACTTAGATAA